CTGTCATTGCAGAAAACATGCTTAAAACTATACACACTGTAACAGTCCATAATTCACATGTCACAGAAACCTTTGTCTAAAACACAACATAATGTTATAAATAGACTATAAACTACAAATTTAAAACATATTTTCATGTATAATAAACATGCACTCACATAAGACTAACCAGCAGGAATAAACTTAAAGGTAGGCTAGGTAACTTTTCTAGTTGGGTTCCGTCAATTCATTGTCTCCATGGAGATTTTATAGCTTTTTCTTATATGTTCAACAGCATTGCATTAAACGTGAACATTATGCATTTATTCAATTACATGTGCTCAAAAATACTTTAAAATGGGATCATCTCTCCACACATTTGACTCTAACTTGCATGTCTAAATAGTTAAAGACATATGGTTTAGGTTTAATGCCATACCGTGGAACATTCTAGGTAAAACATTAATATTTCCATGGAGACAAGCTGGTGTCGAACCTTCCACTGAAAAAGTTACATACTGCACCTTCAACTAAAAAAAAAACTAAAAAAAAAAAAAAAACCTTAAAATATTTTCAGTTTTTTGACTTGGCTTCGCATTCGGCAAGGCACTGTATAGCTTAAATAACATTGTTCATGGCTGTAAGTGTTCCATTTGAGTACTACATAAAAAAAAACAGGTAACTACTGTACATGTGAACAATCCAAACACAGTGTAAAAAGTGTTTTCCTGGGACAGTTAAGCAACACATGGAGTGAGGACTTGCTCTATGGTTAACTAGACTTTAGCTCATTACAGTGGGGACGTAAAGGGCACCATAGTAAGTGGTACTAGCAAATGTGGAAACAGATAAAAGTTTTCCGCTTTAAAACTCAAGTTAAAACTCCCTTCAGAGGAAATGACATTCGGTAGTTAAAAGTTAAGGGTCACTAGTCGTCAGCATATTTTTTATACTGCAGATGCCAAGTCAAATTGTAGCTAGAAAGATACAAATTAAGTATTATTGTAGCACAAATGTGTTAAAAATTATTTCAGTATAGAAAATTACTATTCAAAATGTTTTCTTTTAACACAAACATTGAAATCATAATGCTAGTGCTTTTCTTTGAGTCTTAGATTCACTATGTTTATATTTCTGGTTTGTGTAAAAAATCTTTGAAAGGTTATATGTTTGTATGCGATTCATGTTTTTTAATTACATAGGTGAATCTGTTTGACTTGCCATTCCACAGAAATGTACTTACTGACTTTTTTATATGCTGACAGTGTCTTTACACCTGCATTGTCTTGCATATAGACCTGTATTTTGAGCATAACACAAATATAACTTTAATATTATGGAAGCAGTCAAATATCAGACACAATGGAAGAGACTGCATCCATGAATGATCATTGGTTATTAAGGGAATGATGTGAATATTTCCAATTCGATAAAGTCAAAACAGAAGCCCTTTTTGTGAGTCCAAATTGTCCCAAGACACGTGCGGGATTAGTGGAAGAGGTTGCAAGTGTTCTGTTAATTAAAATAAAATAAAAACACCCCCCTACTCTTCATGTCTCAGAGTCCACCATATTTGAAATGATATCCACCAAACTATCAAGTCCATACAGGTAGCCATCTTCCCTGTTGCCTTCCACCCATGTTGCCCGATGTGTGAGCTCGTCTCCTTCGCGAAGAGGGGTGGTTTTGCCGAAATCGATCATCCAGACTTTGGCCCGTCCTTTACTGTCATGGACGAACAATAAGGAGCTGCCAATGACCTACAAAAACACAGTATCAAATATTAGTATCAAAACAAGTAAGACTATAATGATTGTTTTGGTTTGACTAATCAATTTTTGTCAGTTGGTACACTGGACAAATAATGATTTCTATTGTGCCTTTGAAATATTTGAGGTGACCAGATTCAAAACTGTAAAAAAATTCTCCATCAAAAGGCATTGTGATAGATGGAGAATATTAAAAGCTGGAGTATATACAAAGGTACACTATGTAACCTTTCTAGAGAACCATCTGCTTGTCTCCATGAAAACGTTATTGCTTTGCTTGGAATGTTCCACAGTATGGCATTAAACATATCTATGGAGACAAGTAAGTAAAGCCACAAGGTCAAGTTACAAGTCAAATCTGTGAAGAGGCAATCCCACTCACAGCAAGAATGCTTGTTTTTCCAAGGCATTGTTCTTTGCAATAAAAACACATGCGAGTGAATAAACGCAAGATACACGTTATATGTTCCATGCAAAGCAATAACATATCCATTTGTCCAAACAAATGGCAGCTCCCCACCTAAAAAGTTACATAGTGCACCTTTGAAATTGAAAATACTGTTCTTGTTCAATTTTGTTTTAATGAAAGTGCAGTCTTTTTGATCAAACCTCTTTTTCCCACATATGTTATGTTAGGGTCCATTTATAGTTGATTAGTCATAGTCCGATATTTAATGCAAACCTAATAATAATAGTGTTAGCAGAAAAAAATAATAGTATTTTCCAAAATACAAGTGCATTTTGGTCTTACTTCCTGTTTTGTTTTAGCTGCTGTGTCTAATGAGTGGTTTGTCTAAGTGTGAAACTGAATGTGCGGCCAAGGCTTCTGCTGTCCACTTTCCATGACGCAATTTGTTTCAGAGACAAACTTGTGTTTTTTAATGGGTTGAATGTAAAATAAAATATTATACAGTATATACAGTAATCAATATATTTGAATAGAAATGCAAATTAGATTAAGTTAAACTAATCTTGTTCAAGAATTTGCCCTTACCTCATGTGTTTTGAAGAATGGAGAGATCTCTAGTGTGTCTCTGATTTCTTTAAGTCTTTCGAGGTAAAGTTTCTGAAACAAAGCAAGCAACATTTTAATTAGAGACTGGTTGCACAGAGTAAAAATTACCAGACAAACTAAAAGAAAAAAAAAATTAAGATTATACTTTTTTTAGTAGGATTTCAAAATTACACAGCTCCTATTTTATTATTACTTTATAGATATCTAGATTTTATGCAACAGCTCAACACAAGAGTGAGATTCAGGGAGTTCCCAAGGACTTCCCTTTTCTTCAGTCACAGCAAACTTAAGGTCGTGACTGTGTATCTGTTTTTCCACTGCTCTGCTATTTTCACACACTTTCTTATCTGCAAACACTCACCAGAATGTCTTTATTTCCCTTGACAAAGTCGTGGAAGGCCAAAGTCACTTGCTCTCTCGTTTTCGTCTTCTTAAAGTCTCTATTAACCGTGCCATCCTCTTTCTAAATGCAAGAGCCAAAAAAAATACAAATGTCAGATTATCGATTGATAGATAGATCCTCTACCACATTCTTGTTTCCATGAAGATTGCTTTATCTGAAATGTTCCACAGTATGACATTAAAACTATCTATATCCACAGACACAACAAGAGATGCTACCAGGCAAAGTGAAAGGATAGATCTGTGGAGAAGCGACCCATTTGCAGTATGTAAGGTGCATGTTTCTCTGTTTTTTTTTATTCCCTTTACTATGGAATATTCCAGGTAAGGCAATAAAAATGTTATAGTGCATCTTTAAGCAAGAAACAGATGAGCTTGAAAAAGAAGAAAAAAAATGGAGAGGGGGACAGGCAAGCTGAACAAACTGTTGTGTCAGGAGAGCTATTTTTAGCCAATTAGCCCAAAATCCGAAAAGAGACAGCCAGTTGCACAAAAATGTGATTATGTATGCATTGACAGCCTATCAGTGACAATAAAAGCACTCTAAAGTAATGTATGGTCTAACGCAAGCAATAAAACTATTATAAAACCTGCTATCCTTGCCACGTTGTATTTCTTTCAATTATAACTACTCCTACATTACCACATCAAATTGTATGTCCCATTTTATAATCAGCATCACAATAAACCATATTTTAAGAATTTTTTTTTTTAATTTTTATAAATAAGGACATTTTATAAATAAGGACATAGAGTACCCTATATTATATTCTCAACATGGGGGATGCATACAGTAAGGTTAATAGTGGATGATGAATAATTTGAGGCGGCAAGTATTTGCACAAATAGTTAAAAGTGTAAATGTTTTATTACAAGGTGTATTGTGTAACTTTTCTGATGGAGATTTTATTGCTTTGTCTGGAATGTTATACGGTATGGTATTAACCCTTTCTATTTTCATGGAGACCAAGCCAGAGTAACAGGTCTGTGAAGAGGCAACCCCACTCACAGTCAGAATGCTTGTTTTTCTAGGTATCTTTGAGCTATAAAGCCACGTGTAATTGAATAAATATAAGGTAGAGCTGTTTAATGTCATACTGTGGAACCTTCCAGGCAGAGCAATGACATATCTGTAGAACATATACATAGTGCATCTTCAAATGTATATAATGCTTAACAATATGAGCAAAGCTGTTTTTAATGATGTGAAAAGCCTGCTATAATTGATGTTCTAGCTGCCAGGCAACACAGTACTATTTACAGAAATATTCCTTCTCTTGTCAAGACAGATAGCCCCCGCTTTCCATTTTACGCATAAAGCTTTTAAAATCAGACCTTTAGAAAACATGCCTGATCTATAATTATAAATCTTGTAATCCAATAAAGCAACGCACAAAGCTAAGTCTTGTCGAATTTACTTGTGTTTTTGGGGATAGCCCTCAGTACCATGGCAACAGACCAGAGGAAAGCCGGGGATGTCCTTATTTGGCCATGACCCGTAAATAAGACCAGAGACAGTGTGAAGCGCTGGGGAGTTACATGTGCTGTGTCAGAGCCAGATGCTGGGGCCTATAGAGCTGCCATGGACAGACTTCTTGAACCCAAAAAAAAAGGCTTTGCGCAAACAATTACTTGGCAGGAAGTTGCTGGTCAAAACAGGAAGTGAGGTCATGATCAGCGAGGGACAACAACACCCACGTAGAAGAAAAGACGGAAGGAAATACATTTGGGTCCTGGTTAGTGTTACCTTGACTCCTTCTATCCTGAACCCCAAAGTGGCCGTTGAGCTTATAGTTTCTCTCCATTGCATGTATCTAGGCTTGGTCACTGCTTTCTGGTCATTTTCTTCCGTTGTAGGGGCACCGGGGTCCACCTCAACCATTTTCTGGTACATGTCTGGTCTCGGAGATGGCTTTTTGCGAGCTTTGGCCAACTCTTCCTCAAGATATGTCCTAAAACAAAAGACAAAAGTGGGCAAAAGTGAGATATGTGCAGAAGAAAAAAAAGAAAGATAACAAAGAAAGAAAGAAAAAGAAAAGAAAAAAGATAACAAAAAAGACATTACAGGCATAAATATAAACTAAAATGGCATGTATAGAAGTTAAAAGGCTAAGAAAACACTCTCTTTAGAACAGGAACATACAGCCTTCTCATTTGTGCACCGACCACTGTGCCCTTTATGGGTTGATGGTGATGGGGGAAACTAGATTACTTTTAAAAAAAAATAAAAAATCCACTAAAACACAGGGAGAACATGCAATTTGAGACCCATGAAGTACATAATGGCTTTGGAACATTTCAATATTTAAAAGAGCTGTATGTAAAGTAATTTCCCTTGTGGATTGAGTAATTTCCCTTGTGGATCAATAAAGTTTGTCTTAGTCTAAGAGTAAGAAACCTGTGCTCTTACAGTTTGTTTTTTGTTTACAATCACAACTGTAGGGATGCACAATCCGGTCAGTTCAGCTAATATCCTGATTGGGCATATAAAATTATGTAATAATAATAATAATAATAATAATAACAGTAAGACTATTTTCCTGGTTGTAGATGGCCCAGAAAGTGAACAAATAAAAGGAAAAATCAAAGATTGTGACAAAGCTGTTACATAACACATAACATCAGTTTTGTCTCAGTTTCTTTCTGTTTTATGGAAATACATACTGATTTCAGTCTCCGCAATGGTATCGGTTGATATCGGGTATCAGCTATTGTACTGAAATCGATATTGGAACTACTAGATTGGTGCAGCCCTATTTGCCACTGCTTTAACCTGCATAAGACATACAGGTTTTCTTCATTCTCAGTATTTGGACAGTATATATTGCAGCAGCAGAGGCTGTGTTTTCTGTGCTGGGGTTTAGGTAGAGAGAATTCAGATTAGAGAAAAACATTTTAGGTTTAAACCAGCTGGATTTCAGTGATGAAATCTGACAACTCAAATGAGAGACTCACATGAGACTCATTCTGCTTTCTGATTAGATAATTGTCTAGAACCAAAACACAAATTGTAATTAAAGAACTTGACCATCATGTCCACTGTTTTTGAAATTAGAATAAATCAGAATTAGAACTGTTATCAGTAAAGGCTGTATTTGATTTGAACATGTCTGCCCCATAGCTGGGGAAATAGTTAGATAATGTTAGACAATCTAAGAATAGTGTGATACGAAGTGCCAGATTTTTGTTCAAAACACCTCCTAGGATGTTTTTCTCACCTCACGCCCATCTTACAGTCCATGACACATGGAAAGTCAAACTCAGCCAACAAATCCTCCATCTGGTTGTACTTCTGACCGTCCTTCTCCACGTCGCCATGGTAACCAGGCACGTAAGGCCGCAGCACGTCCTTCATGAGGAGGGACAGGCAGCGCTGCTCACATTCACAGTGTTTCTGCAGAGGGAGGGTTAGCAACAAGTTTTTATAGTGATTCAGTGATTCACATAATCAATACTTTTGCAGATAGTATTTGTGTGGGTAGAGTAACCAGATGTTATACCCTATTGTTTTGATGCACTGAAAAAAACTTAAAATACAAATAATAAGTAGTAGTAGTTGTAGTAGTAAAAGTAAAAAGGCATAAGAAAGTTTCTAATACTAATATGCTTTAATAATTTTGCTTTAGTTTTTAAGCACCCAGCAGGTAAATAATCATTTTTGGCATATCCAAAAAAATAATACAATTAAATTGAAATTAAATTCAAAATAGTATTACTCATCTTGAATTATAAAAGTATGTTTACATTTTATTAAGAATGTGAAGTAATTTATAACAGTCTGCTGTACTGTCATTTTAACTGTGCCAATGTTGTAAGCCATAATATCAATACATTGGAAAAAAAAACGTACTCCCTTACTGGAAGTCCACACAAATCAATGATGAATTTTACTTTTGCTTTTTAAATAGAAACTTATTTATGTGTTAGTATAAACCTACATCCACTGTGTTGCAACAAGTTGACAACTAGCTTATAATAAATTGAAGAGGTTTCTTACTTTTAATATCCGACCGTTGGCTCCGGCCTTGAAGCTCCCTGGAAAAAACAGAACAACAGAACATTACAAAACACAGCCTCAAGGAGGTGACTGTGTAGTTTATACTGGGTTAAGTTACTTTAGTGAGAAATATTTGTCTGGTTAAACAAAAAGGCCCAAGGCTGTTCTTTCCAGTTCTGCAAGTTTAACACTTTTGATGAAAATCCACACTATGAGAAATGAGTCATTAGCTTACAACCAATGTGTTATAATACAATACAAAGTTATAATAGTAATTGCTTTAAAATGCGCATCATGTAATCTGCTAGTCAACATAGGTATTTTGCTTTGCCTGAAATGATCCATAGTATGTGGATAAACTTGTCTCTCTTTATAAAGACAAGCAGGTGACACCAAAGAAAAACATTCAGTAACACTTGTAATTGAGTAAATGAACACACTTTTAATGTTATACTTTGGAATATTTCAGATTAAGGAAAAAGCTCTATGGAGATAAGCAGGTGACAAACCATAAATTACATAGCGCACATTTAAGAAGTATATATATTTAAACATTGTGAGGTACAAAGGTTTTGTGATTAAATACCATTAAAGGTCCTATATTACACAAAATTTACTCTTTCGATCTTTAGGTATGTTATAATGTTGTTACCTCCTCAAAAACATAAGTTGAATTGTGTTTTGTTACATTCACACATGATTGAGTGTGAATTGACTATATTATTAGTCTGTCTACATCTCCAAAGCTCAAAAGTCTACAGCTACCCTTTACTTTTAGTTCAGTAGAGATTGAGCTGAAATTATCCAAATGATTCTAGTGAAATTGTATGGAGTTTAAGAACACAGTGGAGCACTTCCAGTATTACCACATGACAGCGCACGGTGGAACAGAGCATTTTCTCTCAGGATTTGTGTGTTAAACATGTTTGAATGAATCAAAACACAACTCCAAGTATCGTATGTTTTTGATAAGGAAGTATATCAAGGTCTATATAACCATTGTTTTTTCTACTTTTTATTATGCAGGAGATGTGTGTATTTCTTGGACTACACTGTGCTTTGTGTAAGGGAGTGTTGTAAAACTATGAGGAATGCAATGTCGCTTCTGCACAGCCATGTACCTGCATGCCCCGCCAGCTGTATCCAAGGATACTTCTTCTTAAAGGACATAACGAATGGCGACCAGTGGACCATGTTTTTGATTTTCTTCCAGGATTTGTGCTATTCAAAAAAAAAAAGAAACATAAACACATAATTAGTGTCAAAACATCTCTTACCACCTTTTCTTTAGAAATCCTTTAACTACCTCAGAGCAGAACAACAAGACTTAAGTAGGGTCTAGTAAGTGTAGTGTTCCCCCATTTACAGTGGGCAGCGGGTTTAAATATCACCCAGGAAACGAACACCTGTAATTTAAGGTCCTTCCTCAAAAGCCTTTTGACTGATCCAGCACTTTCCGACTGCTTTGTTTAAAAAGGCCTTAAGCAAAACATGACTTTAAATGCACCTACTAGCACACACATACACGCAGGCAGGAGAGAGGTAGCCTATTAGAAACTGCTCTTCAGTCTCTCTCTCACTTGAGTGCCTTATTTTTGGATGTTCTAATTTGTTGTTATGACTGGGGTTTCCCTTGGTTACACATGCATTCAGACAAGTGTTTTTTTTTTTCACGAAAGGGCTCCTCCATTATACTAAGGGACTCACATACACACGTCAATGGTAAAGGGAAACATGTTTACATCAAGAGATTTTGTCCACTTCTGCAATTTGTTTAAATGTGCAATTTAACTTCTGACAATTATTTCATTACAAGTTTTTATTGTTTTATTTTGAGCTTGCCCCTCCACACACCTTAACTTGGCCTGGTGGTGTCTCCTGTTTGGCTCCATGTAGATAGATAAAGTCTATCGCCATACTATAAGAGCATTTCAGGAAAAGCAATAGCATCTCAATGGAAACAAGTAAGCAGCTTAGAAATATAAATAAAAATGTTACATAGTGCACCTTTAAACAGCAGACGTTTTGTTTTTGATTAGAAGTAACTGTTACAGGTAGATCATCAAGTCTGCCTGCTAACCTGAGAATGTTTTCAGAATTTTCAATATTTCAACATTTTTTAATCATATAAAACCATTATTGAATTGTAATTTTGATGCCAGAATATAGCCTGAATAGTAAGACTGATACAACAAGCAAACTGTTTGAACTTTCAACATAGTGAGCTGATGTGCACTGACAGTGACTGCATAAACAACTCTAATATTTTCTAGAAAGTACTTTGAAATGTCATGTTAGTATTGTATGAGGTTACACTCAATCATCGGATCAATGCTCAAGTTTCATATTTGCACCAAGTTCTATCAATAAAAGGAAAAACAACTGGCATATCACATAATCTTCATTACAAACAGAAGGCAATGATCACACCCACTAGTATGTTTATCATTGTGGTATATTGTGGTGTGAGTATCTAATCTTTTCCTTGGTATCAAAATAGACCTTGAAATCTTAGTATCAAGACAACACTACTAATGAATTCATGTTGAAAACTAATATCCATTCAAGCTCGATGTCTGATTCCAGCTGTGACTTTGGTTCAAACTTGAAGAAATCCCATTACATCAGATGGAAAAATTCCAGAGAACTTATAATGTGGGATCAGACAAAGCTCGGTTGTGCAACTAAGTCCCAGCTCTTTTTAAAGTAACCCATTCATCACTTTTAAACCTGTCTTTTTACATATTTGTTTAGACATTTTTGTATGGGATTCCCTTTTGAACCTTGACTTCCTGGACAGCGTAAACTCAGACAATTTATGCTACTCCCCGAATCCACTTTTAGCTTTGATTAAACAAATGTCGTGATCTCATCTACAAAGGATTTCCCTGTCTGCCCATTTTAAGAGGGATAATGTTATGTCTCCAAATACATGAAACAGCGAAGAGGAGGATGAAGAAGAGGAAAGACTGGAAAACGGGTGCTATAACAGAGAAAGACCATAGAAGGCACGCTTAATCCATGTCTATCTATGGTACAAAACACTAACTTTTACTCACATGGTAAATTCTGTCTGCACCAATGAAGGGGAGCGTTGAGGAAATATTATGCTTAGAAAAACTACAACACACGTGTACTGGTCACATGGTGGAAACTATAAGGTAGGTCAGCTAGAGAGGAGTTTGACCCTCAGACTTTGTAAGGTTAAAAACACAGCCAGAGACTTAAATGTACATGGAAAATATGAAGAATGCCATTACTGCTTTTCTAAACTAAAAAAGTTAAAGGATTACATAAAATTTTGGGGAAAAGCCAAAGTTGGACACTCACAATCATCTATCTAACGCAGCTCGCTTACTGTGTGTTCTGTGAGAAAGTGTCTGGTTAGTATCAAGTATGAGTAATTATAACTGTATGTCACAAGCTTTGCAGAAGGGGGCTTTGAAGAGGATACAAGGCAAAGCAGTTTTTAAAATGAGAACTGCATTAAGGCAAGATTATCAGTCCATAAATGTAACCTTAAAAGATGAAAAGTCAAACACTAGTAAACAGAGCACAAATCATCTCACAAGCAAGAACTATTGGATATGGAGACATGCTTAGAAGTACCTGGAAGTGACTGGGGCAGATATGTATTATTATGACAATATAAACCCAGGCACCTTGAGTCCTGCGTACTGTCTATGGGGAATCCCTGCTCCAATGGGAAGATAATGTTATAGTTGAGGTATAGTACAGCTGAATAGGAAAAAAAATTCATTTAGATACATCAATTCGATTTTTTTTTTCTGTAGTTTACTGACATGAATGTATGAAAAAAAATGTATTATAAGTAAGTATTCCATCATCATGTAATGGTTTTATATAAAAAAAATAATGCATTGATGAACAGCCAATTTTTGGGACATTCAAAACAGAAGCATGAAAAGAGCCACATTTAAAATTTCTTTCTTCTTTTTGTTGACATATTGACATAACTAGATCTGACTGAAAACTTGTCAAAAAAAATCTAATTTCACCTCATAAAAACTTGAATCAGACTTGGAATTAGATACGAAAAAAAAAACAACTTCTAAACTGTAACATGTAAAACATCTTTTGGTCCAGAATAGACAATTTTGTAGTTTTCACATGAAAGTTTATGTCTCACTTTAAACTGAAGAGTGCATTCAAGATATATATCATTGCCTTTAATATGTACAGAACCTGAACCGTAAAAAGGTAACAAATTCTGGACTCCAAACCACATGCTTTTACTGATTGAGGACAGTCTCAGTTATCAGCACTGTGTCCCCTGTCCCAGCAGATTTATCCAAAACCTGTGATATGTCTCAGTTTTATACAAGAAATGCCCAAGGTGTCCCTGTTTTTGACCAATTTGATACTTGCCAGCAGTAAAGAGGGGTATATATAATAATTTGTTTAGCTAAAACACACAGAACCGTGCTTGAAAATGACCATAAGGTGCAAAATGCAGAAGACAGAAGTTCCTCTGATTATAAACTGACCAACACATGAGTCGAGAATGGACAATGTTATGTGTTCTTTTCACTGATTTATTTATACCAAACATCCCAACCCAGGTGTATCCAAGTTTTGAATTTGAGTTTTGAATTTTGAAAATCTGGTCACCCTATAGACCACTGAATTAAAAAACAAGCTCATCATTGACAATTTGAAAGAAACTGGATCTAAATGTGATCAAAATTGGATTAGTTGTACAGCCCTAGAGGGAGGTGTCTAAGTCAGCTCACTGTTGTCCTGGAAATGAACTTAATTTGAAAGGGTGTGGCAGCATATGGCCTGAAGCAGCTGCTGTGAAAAGGCTGTCCACAATCCACAATCTAATTTACATTCATTTAAATACTGTCTCATGTCTGGGTCCTGTCTCATGTCTGTATGTGCCATTTTTGTTCATTAATGTAAAAAATTTAATAAAATGATAAGTGACTATATCACTATTGCAAACATTAAGTTATTTGCTCATTGTAATTACTGCTCAAGAAAGAAACAACAAAACTATTAAAATATGCTTTGCACCACCTAACAAACTTAACTGATCAAATAAAATAAAGATGATTTGCAAAAAAGACAGATAATTAAGGAACAATTACAACATACAGTATGTGTAAGAACTAATGTTATAATAATGATGCCATGTAATTGTCAAATGCATTATGGGAAGGAAAAAAAAAACACCACCTATTTTACAAATGTTTTTCAGGTAGCACTATTTTCTACAGTATATAATTACTACCCAATAATAACAACATAATGCTAAGCTATACTTGGACTTAGACAAACTACATTGATCCACAAGGGAAAGTATTTAGACACAGCAGCTCATACATCAACAAAGAGCTGTAGGAGCCAAAATAGCAAGAGACTGGTGTGAAATAAGGCATAATTATATGTACAAGTAAAATTGTGAAATATATAACAATATAGTAATACAAATATATCTCTCAGATATATGAGGTTATAAGGAGAAAACAGTGCAAAGATGAAAACGGTGATTGACATGACAAGCTGATTCCCATGAGGTGAGCATACCTGTGGGGGGGGCGGCCTTGGACGGACATGGAATATTGCAATAATCAAAACTGCTCCGACCGATGCAATGACGCTCCACACAAGATAAAGCCAAGAAGACCACATTGCAAAACCCTGACCTGCCGCTGTCATTCAAAAAGTAAAACTGTAAAAAAGACACAAAGTCTAGCTATGACCTGCAAGTCGGTCTCTGGCCGACCTGTACTCCTCTTTGCAATGTAAGAACGTGTCATGAATAATACATGATTGTGGCTGATTTGGATGGCAAAACGTGAGGACAAACAGAATCTGGACATGCAAATCAAGCTTGGTTCAGATGAGAGGAGAAGTCATTGGCAGCGGCGCTCCAGTGTATGTTTAAAGGTGCACTGTGTAACTTTTCTGGTAAAGGTTACACCACTTGCTTGACTCCCTGTTGTTTTTTCCTGAAATGTTCTACAGTCTGGCATTTATTAAATATCTCCGTGGAGACAAGCCCAAGCCCACATCACCAGGCCAAGTTGCAGGTCAGATCTGTGGAGAAGTGAACCTGTTCAGAGTAATAATACATGTTTTTGTTGTAGTTTTAAGACATAAAAACCTGTAATTGAATAAATGCAAGATATATTTATTGAATGCCATAATGTGGAACATGCCAAGCAATAACATCACCATGAAGACAAGCAATT